AAGCGAAATGTTTGATTGACAACCCTTCTTCGTCGTTTTGCAAATTGGACACTGGTCCTTGGGCGACCCCGCCCCTTGTTTCCTTCGAAACGATCAGATAGCCAACTCTCTCTCTCTTTCGTTCTTCTATAACTATCCGTCACCAACTGGACTGAGAAGTAATTTGAAGACAGCGCCAGCGATCGTCTTCTGCAGGATGATGGGCTTAGAGTCAATTAGATCATGTGGTGAGCGAAGTACCAGAGAAGGAAAATGCAACAGTTGCCTCCAGAAACACCCCAAATGAGACATGGGGTGAAAACGGACGAGTTGATTGAGATTTGGGCGAGTTCTCTGAAATTACCAGCTGTGACTCATCTCCCAAGACATTCAAATTTGCTGCATGGAAATGGAATTCAGTTGCTAATTCAGACTAGATTGATCTAACAGCCTTTCTCACACTTGCCTCCTTTTTTGTCTTCAGCGTTTGTGCCATTCTGCCATTCTGTGCTGTGGTGGGGGGGGGGGAGTTAGGGAAAGCGGGTCATTCTCGACGGCATATCTCCCGATTGAACTTAAGGTTCAGATGGGTGCAAACTATCTTCAAATACGCATGCAGTTCCTCTAGCTATTCGAAAGAGAACTCTAGACCGCTTCCCGGGCTCGAGCTCAAGACCAGCCAACGACCGGTGCAAATTTTCTCGACTACTGGGAGCTACACCGAATCTCCCGCGTGATCATCGCCGCGGGCGGATCGTGATGTTAGCAGAAATGCAACGAGAACGCCAACTTCAGCTCGGACGTGCCACAAAGCGAACCTCAAAAACAAGTAGTAGCGCCTCCATAAACTAAAGCTCGTCATGATCGTATCACAATATCCTTTGGTGAAACCACCGTCCCATTGTGGCTGCGACGGGCGCTATGGTTTCCGTGAGAGGCAGACGGACTTATACAATAACGGGGCAGCTTGGCAACGGGGAAGGGGGCATTTCGCACTTTCGCTCCTTTACATCTACGTGTCGCACTCACCTAGATAGCCGTTTCCCTTGTACATTACCAAAAAAGGTGTGTATCTCTGTGTATATAGACTTATGTGTTCTCCTTGAGCGGCTCCGCTCCCTTTGAAATGATGTGTTGTATAGTTTTGTTTACGTGATGTTGGTTGTGGTTGTCTTCCAGAGTGGAGGCTTGTGAAATCGAACTAGTGTAAGCAGCGAAAGTTGCACCAAAATGCCCGCCCCCTCCCTCCTCGCTGCCCGTCGTCGCAAAACTTGGCTCAAATAACGGAAAAACCTAGTGGGCGATTTAGAGGATCCAATATCTTTCACATAATTATCCTTTATTTCTTTCGAAGGACAAGCGAGAACGTCAGGACAACCAGCGAAACCGAGTGACCATGACATGCCGGGCTCTGTTTGTAAGTGCTTCACCAATAGTTACGTACTCAAGGAGCTTTGACCCTACAAAATTGATCAGTGCTAACAAGGAGTTTCCTTCGTTGCTGACGATGGATTCATTGCCTACTGCAGATTTGGTGCCTGAACTGAACAAGGAGCAAGGTCCGAAACCCACCCTACAGAGGAAGGACCCTGAAGGTCAGCAACGAGGGTGGAATGCCACGAGGTGAACCCCAACAACAGGCCGGAATGTTGCCCCAAGGTGAACCTCAACAGCAAGCAGCGCCTCCTGATTCTCAACAGCCGGCACCGCAGGAAAGAAGGTAAGCGATGTGTTCGTTCAATTTTCCGCGCTGAAAATATATTTCGCTTAAAACGGGGTTTCAGTCTTCCAGCCTGTTGTCGTTTTGCAGACTGACACTGCTCCTTGGGGCGACCCCGCCCCTTGTTTCCTTCGGGAAGTCAGATAGCCAACTCCGCTCTCTTATTTCGTCATTCTTATAACTATCCGTACGATTCGAAGACAGCGCCAGCAATCGTCTTTTGCAGGATGATGGGCTTAGAGTCAATAGATCATGTGGTGAGCGAAGTACCAGAGAACGAAAATGCAACAGTTGCCTCCTAGAAACACCCCAAATGAGACATGGGGTGAAAATGGACGAGTTGATCGAGATTTGGGCGAGTTCTCTGAAATTACCAGCTGTGACTCATCTCCCAAGGCATTCAAATTTGCTGCCCGTTGCCCCAACAAAGAACAACTGAGCGGCCCTCCGTCAGAGGGCATCTAGCAAGTGGGCGGTCCAACTGAGCGGGCGTTAGAACTAGAACTTTCAGCGGCTGTAGCACGCTCCTCGCTCGCTGTGGAGTCGCGAGAGTGGGACAGTCTCTTAGCTTGGGGGCTGGACTACTTGGCAAAAAGGACGATCATGACTTACTTGAGCGCGCGGCTGTCTTTAAACCCAGCACTTCCTTTCTGAGGCTGCGTTCATACCTAACGAAACTGGAAAACTGAGGAATCAGCGATTCACGAAATCGGGAGGGTAAAGAAACTGAGAGAGTGGATGTAAGTCGGAGAGTCGACGATTCCTAAGATTCTCCAGATTGATACACTTCTGATCTATTCGCAAACTCCGACTTTTCCATTCCAGAAATAGTCGACTTCGTTCTGCAGATCTAGTTCGCCGCGGACGAAGGGGCGTGTCACGCGAGATGAGCTTGGCGCGGTGCCAAACCCGTTCTCCACCAGTTGTTGAAGCGAGCAAATGACAAGACTGTATCATATCGTTCGTATCACTCGTTTTCTACCAATTTTTTCGCATACCCGCTTCAGCAACTGCCAGAGAACGGGTTAGGCGCCGCTGCACACTCACGCTGCCTGACACGCCCCTTCATCTACAGCGAACTACAGTAATACCTGTTTCCTTCGCTCCTTCCCATATCGTCGATTTTACGGATTTGCAAGGCGTAAGCACGGTCTAGCAACCCTCATCAACACTTACATTAGAGCTATTATCAATTCGTGCCACCCACTTTCAATATACCGCCCCACCCCCCGTATCCTTCCTTCCTTCCCGCTGATCCTGCGACCCGTGCTGTAGACTTGGCCTCCACTCGTTGTTCTAGCGCACCTTGTCAACCTCTGTGTGTTGCTACTACTTTCTGCCGCCTACCTAAGAGGTTCACGCTTAGCAGAAATGCAACGAGAACTCCAACTTCAGCTCGGACATGCCACAAAGCGAACCTCAAAAACAAGTAGTATCGCTCTAAACTAAAGCTCATCAGGGTCAGGTCACAATATCATTTGCTGGAAACACCTACCCACTGTGACGCTCTCTATGATTTCCGTGACATGCAGACGGACTACACAAGAACGGAGCAGCTCGGCGACGGAGGGGGGGGGGTGACATTTTGCACTTTCGCTCATCTGGAGAGCAGTTTCTTGATCTTACAAGAGTTGACAGGTTTGACCATAGTGGATGGACGACGACGGTTACCCCAGCTTCACGGAAATTCTTCAGAGTGAGGCTTGTGGCAGGTTCTTCAGAGTGAGGCCTGTGAATCAGAACTAGTGAAGCAGCGCAGTGCCCCCCTTCTCCTGCCCGTCGCCGAACTGTGCCCAATAACGGAAATACTTAGCGACTGCTCCATAGTAGGATGGCAAATCTTTTCACATAATTATCCTTTATTTCTTTCGAAGGACAAGCGAGAACGTCAGGACAACCAGCGAAACCGAGTGATCATGACATGCCGGGCTCTGTTTGTAAGTGCTTTACCAATAGTTAAGTACTCAAGGAGTTTTGACCCTACAAAATTGATCAGTGCTAACAAGGAGTTTCCTTCGTTGCTGACGATGGATTCATTGCCTACTGCAGATTTGGTGCCTGAACTGAACAAGGAGCAAGGTCCGAAACCACCTTCAGAAGAAGGACCTGAAGGTCAGCAACGAGGTGGAATGCCACGAGGTGAACCCCAACAACAGGCCGGAATGTTGCCCCAAGGTGAACCTCAACAGCAAGCAGCGCCTCCTGATTCTCAACAGCCGGCACCGCAGGAAGAAGGTAAGCTTGTTCAACAGTGTTCGTCAATTTTCGCGCTGAAATAA